GCTTTCTTATTATTATTTCATCAGGGATTCAAGGCCAATTTGACATAATACTTATAGAGTACACAAGAGTGATTTAAACCTTCATGAAACACTATATAAAAATCATTATTATAAAACTCTTAGTAAGTCTATTTATTTATTATTACTATTATACTTGTTTGAATATTGTATTTAATAAATGATGAAATATCTCTGCAAACATTCTGATAACTCACATTCTGAATTGTAATATACAAAAATATGAGAAGCTTCTGCTCAATCTTTATGATGTGTAATACTTCAAATTCATGAATATTGATATTCATTCTCAGTCAGTCAATCAATGCAATGAATGTATTGACACTCATCCACATCATATTCTTTATACACAGTGGGTGGGAATCAGAATCCAACAACTGAATGGTAAATTGCAAACCACAGAATGAATCAGAATACATGAATTGTATGTTTGATGAAACAATTGAGATGCTCTGATAGATCACTTCTGCAGCTGCAAGTCTGATTAATTGCCGTTTATGATATAGATACTGTTGTACTGCCTTCTGAGTTGCATTATCCCTGTTGCTCATTATGATCCTTGATTTTTATGATATTCTTGAGTGTCTGGCCGCCGTACAGCCACGCTGGAACGTGTCAACAAAAATCATGACACGTTCCAGCGTGGCTGTACAGCAGACGTATGGATTTAACCTGAAAAGGTTTAAATCTGCCTGTTTTTGAACTTATTACACCGTCGAACTCTATAAAGTGGATTTGGAACCCAGCTTGGCACTCTTGGCTAGTTGTACGGAGTTATCCCCTCGTCTGGCCGCGAGGCACAATTAGCGCCGTTTTTTAGCGTGTACGTTGGTGTATTAAAAACGCGAAATCTACTGGATTATATGATAGATCGGCTGTATTAGCGTGTTTTTGTGTAATCTATGTAATCTATTTGATCTAGCCCTAATTAAGATATAGAATGGAACTCCTGCCAACACCGGCTTTTCAGACAGAGAGGAATATTATTACATGCAGCACAATCATATCTTGATCTTGAAGCTCTACCCTTATTCTGCTCTGCTCTCTTTCTTTTATACTGACACCAGGCACAAGCTCGAGGTCCTGGCAGAGAAATTCGATGGTGATTTAGATCTGGGTTTGATCGAGTGGAAGGTAGAGGGCTTGAGAATTCAAGGAGTTGAAGATAGAGCTGCTGGCGGAATTGAACATGAGATAGAGTAGTGGAGCCAGAGCCCGCAGCAGCAGGGCCCGGAGCAGCAGTAGGGCCCGGAGCAGCAGTAGCCAATCGATGAAGAATATAAGCATTGACAATTGCATGATCAATAATCCAGTATAGAATTGACAACCACGTGCGATTAGTGGGCATATGAGTCTATAGATAATCTGTCCAAGAAATACCTTGATTTCTGCAGGAGTGGTTGACTGCCAATCCCGGGGATTGATGGCTGAGTTCTTTGATATCTGAATCTCTGCGTAGGCATTGGTGGAACAGGCAATATTCTGAATATCAGACTCTGAGATATAGAGAGAGAATAGGGTGTATGGATTCCGCGGATCAATATTGGGCAGATTGGCAGTTGGAGAGCGATGAGGAGATTCCATGGATTTGAATCTAATACTCTTCAGAGGTGGAATGTCTGCTAGAAGTGCACTGACAGATCGCTTTCGCTTTACACCTGTTTTTGTACTGTCTAATAAATAAATCAGTCAATCTGATTAAAAGAAGCATTGAAGAATTGGAAATCACCTGTAGAGGTCATATTTCTATCCCAGGGTGGGCAGGGTGGCCAGGGTGGCCAGGGTGTGATCGCATCCACGGTGGATATGAATATGGATCAAGATGAGAAGATTCCAAGGTCAACAAATCAGATTACATAGAATTTAGTATGAGAAATTATTGGTTGGTACTTCAGAGCTAACAGCTTAGTTGTTACACTAATAGTAATACGCTAATTGTGTCCTCGCGGCCAGACGAGGGGATACCACCACGGCGCTGGTGGTGATTGAGCTGTTTTGCCCTAGTGGCCTAATAGTTAATATAGTAGAATTAATATTCATCGTCATAATAACTGAGTAAGTAATTAAAAAAGTAATATCAAAACATCAAATAGGTTACTATTCATATAGGAAAAGACGAGAATAATGAAGGTTTACACCGTCAAAAGGCAAATATCCACCCTCTGTACGGCCCTGGCACTGTACGGACAAAATCACCGAACAGGCCCTTAGGTCATTTGTATTAGCATGTCGGCAGCTGAGGGCCTGAGGCATATATATTGCGGTGCGCTAGTCCGTGATAGGCAGCCTAGGGCCGACAGATTATACAAATGGACACCCCCCGCAAAAGGAACAATAAATAGTCTGCTCCGGCGAAATGGAGGAACTTTAAACGTTGATGTTAAGCAAGAAGGTTTCTCCACAGTTCCAATTCTGTTCATGTAAGCCAATTCATTGCTCGTAGTTATATATTATGCCTTGGCACCCGGGCAGGTATATCGATGGTGGTTATCTCTCTATACCTCCTAATAGCCTATGCCTTGCATACTAGTATTCACATCTGGTAATTGAAATAATACTAGTACTTGTGTGTCTTTATAGCTAGATAACTACCAACCATGAAGCTTCTCTTATCGACAATTGTTGCTTTTCATAGTGTTTTTAACGGAATAGCCTGGAAAACTTCAGTGAGTGGGCTGTCATTTTCATTTCATCCACCTCATGAAGCAGGAGAAGTGGATTTGCTAGTATTAGTTAGTAACCACCACATCTAGATATCGGAGTTTCTCACAAAGCTTAACCCGCACATGGATGGGTTTCTCCACATCGATGACCACGGGATTTTGCGCCACTATGATGGAGAAGGAAAAGTTCTTGACTACGCCAGGCTTGAGCCCACTGAGCTCACTGCCTTTGCTCAAGAGCGCTATACAGGAGGCACACTCGACGATCTCCTTGCAGTGTGGAAGGATGCTGACAGCTCTCTGGTTGAAGATGAGATGATTTGGAACCCGCCTCAGGATCATTTCTCACTGATGAATTCGGAGGACGCGCTGCCCGACACTCCTGAGACGCTGAAGTCGGGAGACGCAAATCTTCTCGAAGCTTCTGCAATGCTTTCCTGCCATAACTTCTTTTGCAGGCAAAACAGTCACTGCTCGCTTGTTTGGGGTACTTCTTCACCATGTCGGTGGTGTCTTGGTGTTTCAAACCGCACTGGCGGCCATTGTAGTCAGAACTATATGGTAGTCAGTCCCTAGCTAACTGGCTTTGTAAAACGATTATCGTGTATATATATATATATATTTGTTGCGATGGTAATGTACATGTACATACATACGTGGCCTTGTTATCTATCTCCTGCTGTTTCTGTGTCCCAACTCATGGACTGTACTGTACAAACCCTCCTTTTCCCTTCGTCTTCCATGTGTGTGTATGATATCTATCTCCTGGTTCCATCCATGTTTTCGCCATCGATGGACCCCCAGCGTGCCAAGCCGCCAGGGTAACGTGACTCACCACCCAACGAACTCATCCACCCAATGAACTCCAAAAAGCACTTTATAGAGCCGTAAATTTTCAACCAT